CGCGTATAACTATAGCAGCTGTGTGGAAAGCCAACTCTCCCCCCCAAATGCAGATGTGGTATGACAAAATATGGGATCTATTTATTTTAGATAAGCTGACCCAGGTCACTCAAGTAAGCATAACAAACACGTCAAAGGCACATGGTAGATTTGTGGCGGTTTGGTTCAGGGTGCTTCAGTATATGACAGAAAAGGACATACTCCCCTCAAATGCCGCTTATGCTCCGTGGATACGCTTTTAGGTGACTGTCAACCCACATCACAGGAGGTTGTACAATAGAGCAATCGCCATTGGGGAAGCGGGTTTAGTTGTCTCTTTAAGAGTTTGCTGATTAGAGGATTGCAAGAATGGTTAATGTGTTAGGACTTATTGGAAGTTGGGAGTGTCTGTTTGGTTCCCCACTTGCTGTAAAGAAGGCGGTTTTCTGTTTTGTATCGTGATTTTCTGTATGTTATTGCTGTTGTGCTTTTGTGTTTTGTTAATAAAAGAAAAATTCAAAAGAAAAGAAAAGAAAAGAAAAGGTGCTGGTGAGAGCCATGGTGCCCCATCGGCACCATACTGGGGACTCCTGCCTTAGACTCTCTGTTCACCAAAGAGAAAGACCATGTTCCCCAAAACTACCCTGGCGCATCATCTTCCTGGAAAGCCACAGAAACCACAACCTTGTGCTTTCTCCTTAGATTAAGCTCCAGGAAGCTGTGGGTTTTCTGAAGAAGGTGCTGGGAGAAGCAACCAAGCTGCAGGCCCAAGAGGAAGACAAAACAGCCCAGTGGAAGGTATGTAGGGTTGCTAGGTTCCCTGGTCTGGGTGGTGGTCTCCTGCTTTTGGGTGCTCCTCTCCCACCACCAGGTGGCCTTATGTGACATGCCCATGTCACCTAGAAGTGACCCTAGGCAGTGACGCTCTGGTTTTGGGGCAAAACTCTGTAATTTGTAGCTAATTCTACCATAGAGTTTTGCCCCAAAACCAAAGCATCACCACCCGACATCATTAAGGTGTCAACCTCACTTCCGGGTGATGTGGGCACGTCGTGGCGCTCTGCCCCACTCACAGAAAGCTCCCTCCGAGGCCCCACCAGCATGTGATTGGGACCTGCCAACCCTAAAGGTATGGGCCTATGTCAGACCCCTGGAGAAATAAGTTCCCAACCACAGTCATTCAAATGAATAAAAAGTTTATTGAGACACTGATAGGATCCAGGCTCTCAATGTTTTGTGTTAGAACTGGGGGGAAACGCATAAAGCAAGCAATTATACCTAAATCAAGCAAGACCCTAATGGCTGGGGCCAATCACACCAGAGCTAAAGGCCCACCTAAATAACGGTCTACATTTCCCAGGGGAAATAGGATACCAGGCCTGCAGGTTACTGGCCTGAGCCAAAGAAGATAACAGCAAAGTGCACAGAAACGAAAGTATACATTCTTCCCACGTCCCCATGGGGCGAAGTTGACAGCCTAACCATTTGGTGCTGAAATTACAGGGTTGAGACTTTTGAAAACAGGGTGCATCTTGCCATCTGTAACAGCAGACTTTAGAGGTGGGATCACTGACAGGACCTCAAAAGCAGAAACATGAAACTGGCTCACCCCTTGCCCCTGCACCTTCATACCCCATGCATTAATAGGGTTGCGAAGTCTTACCTTTAGCTGGAGTGGGGTGCCTTTCCCGCCGGCGGGGACTTGGCAAGCCTATGCATTCATCTACAGGGCAGCGTTTGCATAGACCAGGGTTCCTCAACCTTTTTGAGCATGTGGGCACCTTTGGAATTCTGACATAGCATGTTGGGTACAGCCACAAAATGGCTGCCACAGGAGGCGTGGCCTGCCATACAATGGCTGCTCCAGCTTACCTTGGCCTCATAGTAAAGATCCTTCTGCTGTGGTGGCAGCTGCTGCCAAAGCGCTGCTTTTAAAAATATGCACAAGCATTCAGAGCTCCAGTGGCCAATCAGAAGGCTTGCTGGGCCAAAGTCCAAAATGGCCCTGCCTACTCAGTGGGCACCAGCAAAGGGCTCAGTGAGTACCACGTTGGGGACCTAAGACATAGACATATGCTGTGTGTGTATATAAATATCAGTTTTATTAAAAGGGAATTGGGGGGTCAATTAGACCCCAACTCATGAGAACGGTGGAAAATACTGCATGTCTTTGGTACTGCATGAAATCATCATGAAAACTCATTTAACAATGCAATAATTATTTTATGTTGACGCAATTGATTGCAGATGGTATTAGGGGATTTTCCTCCTGATGTGGTTGACACTCCTGTCAGTGTCCTGATTAACCCATGGAATGAGGAAATGGCCCGGGAAGTTGACATGATAATTCCCAGACAATCTCTCTCAGGTCTAAGAGCCTGGGCAGCTGAGGATGGTGAAAAGACAAGGGAGATGGCTAGAGTGACAGTGGCCAGAGACTCGAGAAGAAACTGACAAGATGTGAGCTACAGCTTATTTTAAAACCTACTTCCTGGGTGTGATAGTGGCAAAGAAACAATATTTCTCTGCCACCCTTGCATCTGCTCAGTGTAGACCTGTAGAATTCTTCTAGGTGGCCTATTGGATTCTGGCCAGCGGAAGGAGATGGACCATCTGCCGTCAATTTGCTAAACACTTTGTGGATCAAATCTCTTGCATCTCTTCTGACTTGGACTCTACATTAGAAGCAACGTGATCAGATAGTCTCAGGGTGCTCCACTTTGCCTGGTAGTGTGGGCACCCTGTCGGCTTGTCCAGTCTGAGGATTTGGACAGGATTCTTGAAAATTTGATATCTACCAATCATTTTGCTTGCATGACCCCTTTCCCCTGGGGGCAGGGAGGGGGGCTGGCAGACCGGGTCGGGGAGACAGTAAATGCCCCCTGAACCCAGGAGACTTGAAGAACTACCACTCAGTCTCCAATGTACCATTCTTGAGCAAGGTGATTGAACAAGTGGTGGCTGGGCACCTTCAAGGATTCCTTACGCAAGAGGGTTATTTGGCTCCATTCAGGGCTTTTTTTTGTAGAAAAAGCCCAGCAGGAACTCATTAGCATAATAGGCCACACACAACAGCAGAAACTCATTAGCCTATTAGGCCGCACCCCTGACAGCACAGCTCATTGGCATATTAGGCCACACCCCCATGTTACCAGAAGTGTGGTCATCCAGCCACACCCACCTTTTCCTTCTAATTCTGTTTACTTTGTTTATTGTCAAACCAGGGCTATTTTTGTAGCAGGGACTCCTTTGCATGTTAGGCCACACACCCCTAACGTAGCCAATCCTAATGAGTTTCTGCTGTTGGGTGCGGCCTATTATGCTAATGAGTTCCTGCTGGGCGTGGCCAACTTGGGAGCCAGCCGGAACTCCGTTCCTGTGCGTTCCTGCCCCAAAAAAACCCTGGCTCCATTCCTGTCTGGTTTTGGGCTTGAATCAGGCTTGGTTGCTCTGGTGGATGACATGCACGGAGAGATGAACAGGGTGAACGTGCCCCTGCTATTTGTCCTGGGCCTCCCCAGTGGCTTTTGATACTCAGGAACTCCCTCCCCAGGGAGATTCCTCTGCCACCCTTCATCGTTGTCTTCTTCCAGTGGATGACACCATGTGCATGTGTCAACCAGGTAAGGACAACAGGATATTAAGTAGGAAGGAGCTTGCATAAAGAACTGGGTTTCTCGGCCTTGACTACCAGCTTGTGACTAGTTTGAACATAAGCACGGTAGAAGAGCCCTGCTAGAGAATATAGTGGTCTTCTCATCCATCATCCTGTTTCACACAGTGGCCAACCAGTTGCCTTGGAGGGCCAACAAACTGGGTTTTTCCCTGATATTGCCTCCTAGCACTGCTAGGTCCACACTCTCTGAATGTGGAGGTTCCCTGTAGACAGGGCTATTTTTGGGCAGGAACGCACAGGAACAGAGTTCCGGCTGGCTCCCGAGTTGGCCACGCCCAGCAGGAACTCATTAGCATACTAGGCCACATCCAACAGCAGAAAGTCATTAGGATTGGCTACAATTAGGGGTGTGTGGCCTAACATGCAAAGGAGTTCCTGCTACAAAAAAGCCCTGGGTTTTGAGGTAAACAGAATAACAAGCAAAAGGTGGGTGTGGCTGGATAACCACACTTCTGGTAACATGGGGGTGCGGCCCAATATGCTAATGAGTTCCTGCTCTTGGGTGTGGCCTATTATGCTAAGAGTTCCTGCTGGGCTTTTTCTACAAAAAGAGCTCTGCCTGTAGATATCATGGCTAATAGCCATTGATGGACCTACCTTCCATGAATTTGTGTAATGCCTTTTAGAAGCCATCTTCGCTAGTGGCCATCACTGCATTCCATAGTTTACTTACTTATTGCGTACAGAAGTATTTCCTTTTGATCATCCTGAATATATTGTGATAACATAAGAGAAGCCATGTTGGATCAGGCCGGTGGCCCATCCAGTCCAACACCCTGTGTCACATAGTGGTCAAACAGCCAGGTGCCTTCAAGAGGTCCAACAGTGGGGCCAGAACTCCAGAAGCCCTCCCATTGTTGCCCTCCAAGCACCAAGAATACAGAGCATCACTTCCCCAGACATAGTACCTTGTGGCTAACAACCACTGATGGACCTCTGCTCCATTTGTTTATCCAATCCCCTCTTGAAGTTGTCTATGCTTGTAGCTGCCACCACTTCCTGTGGCAGTGGATTCCATGTGTTAATTACTCTTTGGGTGAATAAGTGTTTCTTCCATTCTAAGCCTACTGCTCATGAATTTCATGGACTGCCCACAAGTTCTTGCATTATGAGAAAGGGAGAAAAGTACTTTCTCGATCCCAGGCATAATTTTGTAAACCTCTATCATGTCACCTCTTGGTCATTGTTTCTCCAAGATAAAAGGGCCGTAACCTCTTTAAGCTTTCTTCATAGGAAAGGTGTTCTATCCTCTTAATCATTTTGGTTGCTCTTTTATGCACCTTTTCCAATGCTAGAATATCTTTTTTGAGGTACGGTGACCAGAACTGTAGACAGTATTCCAAATGTGACCACACCATATGCTTATACAGGGGCATTAAAATACTAGGGGCTGTGGTGGCTCAGTGGTTAAGACACTGAACAGCAGACCAGAAGGTTGGTAGTTCAGCAGTTCAAGACCCGAGTGCCGCAGGACGGAGTGAGCTCCCGTCTCTGGGCCCAGCTCCTGTCAACCTTGCAGTTCGAAAGCAAGAAATTGCAAGTAGATAAACAGGTACCACTTTGGTGGGAAGGTGAAAGCGTTCTGTGTGCCTCGGTGTCTAGTCATGCCAGCCACATGACCACAGAAACGTCTTTGGACAGTGCTGGCTCTTCGGCTTTGAAACGGAGATGAGCACCGCATCCCTAGAGTCGGATTTGACTGGCTTTCGAGCAAGGGAAACCCATTAAAATACTGGCTGATTTGTTTTCAGTCAACTTCACTGGGTGCCCCAGAGTGACTTCATTTATAGCTCACCTTTCCCATTCAAGGTGGAGTACAAGAATAAAACAGCACCGTTGGAGCATTATAATATGAACAGTCAACAGTGCAATAAAATAATGTACAAAATACGAGGGCAGTGAACTGGAAACAATATTTGATGTACAGCAATATAATAAACATACGCAATGAAATAAAACTGGATTGCACTCATGGAGGAGGTTGAAGGGTCGTTACTCATCCTGGCAGGCACTTGTGGGGTTAATTCCTTCTTTGCAAGCAGTCAGGCTGGGAGCGGAGAGTTGAAACAATAGGCTTGGCTTCCCTTCATCAGCTGCGGCTACTCCTTTCTTCCCTCGGTTT